CATACATTTCGCAATATCGATGATTTCATGTTGTTAATTTTATAGAAGCACCACGTGTTAACGCCACACCCTCTGAACGATCAACATTTGTACAATGGTACCAACCATGTTATAAACTAACTCAACTTATCACTGGCTACCTTGTGGACGTAAGCACAAAAGAAGCCATGAAATCAGTCAGGGTTAGTCCACTTATTACAAGTAAAAACATCCCAGGACTTCAACCATACACTGAATATAAAATACGAGTCAAGGCTGTTCCGTATGGATTATGGAGTGATAACAAGACCATCCAGACCACGGCAGGTTTGTCATATTTCAATTACTAATTGGGTTTCTATTTAATGCGAGCCTCTATGTACGTGGTCGCAATTCTCAACAGGCCTATAGACCAAAGCCTCATCAAAACTTTCATTTTAAACTTGACTATTTCAGTCGAGTGATTTTTTTTCTATGCAAATCATTTAGCTCTCATATCTCATTTAACATGTCTTTATAGCATTTCTAATCAGCTTTTCGTGTTATTCACTTCACTGCTAATGCAGTGTCTAGAAAAGCGACTGCCATTTGCTGGAGGATGAAATTCCTCCACTGAATAATTTTACTATTTAAAGTCAATTCATAGGCACTCGCCCCTTAGCATTCACGACTGGAGAGACTGGAGCCATCAAAACAACCAATGGTAAACAGCGTTTGATTTAGCCAATCAAAAGCAGGATAGCCATGGGTGTGAGAAATGATAATGTTTGAACACATGATTTGAGAATACCTTAACGTAGTTAATCCGGTACTGAATTCCACAATTTCCTTAATTTTGTGAAAATAATCGACGCAACATTAGAAAATATTACAATGGTTGGACGTGTGACAGAACTGACGTCGATTGTGGTAATGATCCTGATTGCTGTATAAATACATTACAAATATGGTAAAGGTAGGAGCCTCAAGTACCGCTCGATTTCTTTTAGCACAATGCATTGACGGGAAAACTTTATGTTTCATAACTAGATTTTGTCGCTTTTCAGGCAAAGGGGGAATTACGTCCGCGTTCAATTCTTGTCATGAAATCATGTCATTTCATTTACGCAGTCCAAGATTCATAACCAACAATTGTTAAATATCTTGTCTATATGCCTTTCTTAATTTTAGGTAGAACCTCTACTGCTAGAGTGCTTTTATTAAAAGCATGAAAAATTAGTAACACTATTTTGTACCATTTTATGCTAATTGTTTTGTTTTCTTTTGTTCGACTAGCGATTAATCTGTACAGTTTCATAAGTGTTTTCATGTGTTTATAAATCTCTTGGGTTAAGCTTCTTCCAGTTTTAGTTTTGCTGCTGTTTTGTTTTGACATTGCTTTGGCTAATTGAATGTAAACATGTAAATACCCATCACCTTACCCGACCATAATTAACTAATAAAATGGTAAAGTTTGTAACTTTTATATCTTATTGAATTATAGGATGTCAAAGATAATTTTAAAGAGAGAGAGGTATTCATTCAACGCTTAACGATGGATTACATAACACTTCCAATGCAGGGGCGTATCCATACGAATTCATGATGTGTACATCTATGTAGCCGCGATATTCACAGGTTGAAGGGAGGGCAACCCTATTCAGGGTTGTCTTTTCAATTGCGATAGAGTATGTAACTAGGGTTTAAGTTAACATTTCTTTAAAGCATGGTAATTGATGAGGTTTAATAAGATTAAGCCATGTGGGGTCAACAAATTACCTGATCCCATAAGGAAATTGCTTTTTTTTATGACCTTTCTTTTCAATGAAATTGCAACAAGAAGGTTATTGTTACTGATTATAAATAGATATGTAGATTATTTGTATTCATCTTTTATTATCAGAATATGCATGATACAGGACATCCCGTGTACAGTATTTTTTTATATAATAAATGTCTCATTAAATTAAGAATTGCCGTTTACACCGTGGATTCAAATTGAATTTCTCGTACCCAGATCCTTTCAGTAAAATCGAAGGCTTTGATTAGAGACGAATGAAACTTTGACTTGATTGTTTCAAAAATGCGCCATTAGTATGCATACATCGTACGACCCAGTTTCTGTGTATTATCCGGTATCGCTTCAAACAAGAGACTTCAATTTTCCGTTGAGAAACTGAAAATGATCTGAGTACGAGATACCCTGCGAGCAGAGGAATTTTTTCACTATCTTCGTTGAAGGGGGTGGAAAAATCCTCTGTTCGCAGGGTAGGTACGAGAATGGGAATGCTTACACTTATCTGTGGAACAAAATCTCATACTTTCCGTATATTCAGTGATTATTTCTTACAAGTTGAGCACAATTAGAAAAATCAGTTGAAAAATTCTTTAAAAACAAAAACAAAAAAAAAACAATTCAATTAGGTAAAAAAAAAAACGATTTAGATTGTATTCATGGACGATGTGTAAGAAGAGTACTCTACCAATGTCGACAGCTCATTTTCTACAACTCCTAAAACCAGTGCGGTGCAGGCTACAGTAAACGCATTTCTCAAATTGTTGACTGGTGATATCACTCTGTGCGTTTTATTTTCCTTTGAAGTTGTCATAATTACTGAATGACTGAAGGTAATTCTGTAAAATAGTATAGCAGAACTTGTATTGATCCTGTAGAAAAACAATCACAAATGATTATAATGATCGAATTTTAAGCATGATTATTATATATATCTATAGTCCGAATAATGTGCCATTGGTCAGGCATAGATCAGCAATATGCCAGCTATTAATAGACCTATTATCAAAATGGCCGCCATCTTGGATTATGAAGAAATTACGAAATGTACTGAGAGCAAAAGCGCATATTCATACATAATGTAGAACTGAATTTCTCACCCTGCAATCAATAATATCTATCTTGCCGGCTTCAAATTTGAAAACATTAAAATGTATTGTTTTCGAGGTTTTAATGATTGAATAGACTTCTGAAGCTTTTTCTGAATGCATTGTGAGATCAGTTCGATAAGTTTCCTGTTTTGTCCCAAACACATCGCACAATGCATAAAAAGCTTCATTCAGACGTCTATTGTAGGCCGCTTACCAAAGTTTCGACTGCTCCTCGTCTGCTTTCACGCACAGACTTGACTGTCTGAAACACGTCCAGTACTTGTTCCTGTTTAACACGTTCAAGTGTCGAGGCAATGCTACAGAATGTACCACTACGACCTACACCGTTACTAGGACAACAATCAAACTTTGCATAAGAAGAAATGAGTTTTATCTTGGGAGGAAGCATGCTGTCAGCACCCTTTTATTATAGGTAGGTTTTAACTGATAGAACTATCTCTGGATATTCAGCAGACAAAAATTTTCGAGGCACTGAAGAAAAAACCTCGGTGTAGGGACAGCGACAGAATGAAATTTGTACTGCTCAGCCAGTTATTCTAATAAAGTTAAAGGTGGCAAAGATTTCTAGTACGTCCATACATACCTACAGTGGACAAGCACTGGTGATTGTCCGGCAAACCTATGCTGGGATTTTTGGACCTCGTTCAATAGGTTCAAAATACTTTGAGGGYTGGACGGGGTDCGTTTATCTTTCCAATCAGTATGCTGAAAGTGAACTACGTCAACGCTTTTCTGTATTTGAACGAAAATTGATATACTATGTTAATAGTAATAGAAATATAATAATAATACAGTCAAAAGATATATCTGGCATCGTGTGTAGCTGTGCGTGTAAATCTGTATGACAAGAATTAGCTTTCCAACAGCATCCCTTCTGGGAGTGTGGCTTAGTAAAAGCTAAGACTGTTTCATTGTGAATTTCAGAAGGCTAATTTGTCTTTTTCAGATCTCCACCTATAATTCTTCCACCTACCGTTGAGTTGATTACTTGGAAAGTGCGCACAGTTACGTCATCTAGATATTCCACTTTGATCTGCTTTACTTGAATGTTATCACATGTCATCATTTCTTTCTCGTTGGGCCAGTATTGATGGAAAGTCTTCAAATGAAAAGTCATCAGTTAGAAGTTTAACTCTGATCAGTTCAAATAATAACAAATAAAGCACATTTGTACAATACGTTCCCGTTGGGCCAATTGATGAAAAGTATTGATGAAAAGTCTAAAAACAAATTCATCAGTTAAGAGTTCACTCAAAGTTAACTCTGATCAGTTTAAATACCAAATAAACCGGCAGATTTGTACAATACTGGTCGTCCATTTGATTGAACGACGTGTTGTTCAGCTCACAATATTCCTTGTGTAGCAAAAACAAAATTGATTAACAGCATACATGAAGAAATACCGTGACTATCGGGTGTGAAAACAAGGCTACACACTTAAATCGTATTTGGTATCGTTACCCGAAAGAGGAATGGAAATGAAACAATGCACACTACTGGAAACAGACTAGCTGCGCTTCAGAATGTTTATACTTGCTGAATATTTTTTCCTTGAAGTGACATTCTATCTTGCAATCGTACAGATGCTTCACGAAAAGTGGAACCTTTTTTACTGTTTACAGAATTGGTGTATGCAMTGCAAGACATCGTTTGCAAGATATGGTATTGCGTCCAGCAACCTTGCTCATCATGGTTACACGCATGCAAATCATAAGCTCAACAGCATTCAGATGTGACATACACATCACCACATTTGACTTTTACCTGGTTGTTTTCTTGCAATTTGTTTAACATTACAATGGTTCCAATACCGTGGTCTATCACCAGTTTCCAAAACTCTTCAACCGTTTTACAAGTGGGGGCCTGGGTTACTATGTAGGCGTTTCGTTCTCTGTAAGTCTGAAAAAAGCATTGAAAAGTCACGGAGTCATCTGTCTGTCTGTCTTTGTCATTTAACTTCAATTTGTATTATGTTCCTTACGTCCACATATGTTGCATTGATGTATTCTCCTGTTTTTTCTTTGTTGTTCAATTTGACGCGTCTGTGATCATCTGTAGAATTCAGATAACAGATTCCTTATTCTGGATCAAATGCCATTCATCTTTTATATATATTACAATTAACAATATCTTACCCATAGGACTTCCTGCCGTACTTGTAACAGCATTCAAACGCTAAGAGGAGAATAAAGAGTTGTTTG